TGTAGATAACATATTCCTGTGGAGTTTTCCGGACGCTGCTCAAAAATTAATTAAACAATAGACAACTTATTTGCCTTTTTGCATACATACACTATTATAACAGAAACCATTGATCAAGCTTTGTAATTATATATTCTTCCAGGAGGTGTTTTCCTGTTACAACGTCACGCCGTCAGGTCTCGCTATTTTTATAAGGGTTTTAGGGTGTTAGCCCTTACTAGCATTTTCATTGTGAACTCAAACCCTTTGCTCCCCGACTCTTAATCGATTTCCTCACACAGATTTTTACAGTTTGTATTTTTACTCTTTTTAATGAGCTTCCGTAGTTACAAGCTCCCTTGTATGTGTTGAGCTAGTCTTCCGTAAGCGTTCCTCTGGCCCTGGTACCCGCTTGCCTTGTTCTGTTGTACTTTGAAAGAGGTTCAACTACCTTTCAGTTTGGCCAATATTTGGATCTTCGACCTTGGGTATTTAAATTAAATACTGGCAACGTCACTTCGCCTACTTCGTAAGTAGCCTAACGTTTTCCTTGTTGGGGTCAACTAGCTCCTTTCAATTGTCGCCTTCTCTGATGTGTCTTGACACAACCTTCGTAAAAAAGCACGGCGGTCCTGCTTTTCCGTTTGCCGCAAAACTGGTCTCGTATGAAACTCCTATTATCCGGTTGACCGTACGTTTCTAACATACTGTGACATAAATAAAGGCTTTCCGACTATTGCGGTGGAAGATAGCATCTTACCGTCATTTGGCACGAGAAGGTTCTTTAAGGCTACCCGGTTCAAGGTGTCTGTCCCGGTGGTTAATGGAGTTGTGGCGAAATTGGTATAACGAGACAGTTTTAAATAGAAAAATAACCCGAAGTCCGCGCTCAAATATGAGCATCCGCGCAATATATTTCACGGGGATCTTTTTCACCAAAATAAAAATCATCTACGGCGAGGGAATAGTGCAGAAGTACTAAATCCATTGCGGTTCTTCTATAGTGCATAATGGGCGAAAGAACATAAAAGTGGGAAAGTAACTTGGAGCCCACTAAAGATGCATAGCGGTACAGAAGATATGAACTTGCCCACATAAAATGCGAAGCTCGGCCTATGACATCAAGTCGTCAGCGGGCTAACAGATGTCCCGAAGAAAAGAAAAAATGTTACCGATATGCCAGCAATGTTGAACGAACATACTAGAGGATATGTTTAGTAAACGTTCACTTATTTGCCATAGCCAGCAGGAAACTAATAATCAACGTACACCAACTACTGAGGGACAGCGAACTTCCAGGTGGAACAAAACTGCAGAGGAAACAGTGGTAGACGTCTCAATAATTTCGAGAGGAGCAGCAAACTTTTAAAGAGAATGAGACTTCAGTAAAAATAAATGATCGACGTAATTATACATGTAGAATACGGAAAATTGGGATTTTTTCTGATGTTATATTTCTAACACTACATCTAAATAAAAGCAAATATTTCAATGCATCTTTTATATGCATTGGAAGTATCATTGCTTACGGCCATATTTATTTAACACAGTCACCATTTCGCATGATTACTGGCTCAATTTGGAACCTTCATCACTTACTGATTATTGTTTAAGTATTAATTTAATCCGCAAATAACCTTTCGACAGTAATACATGCACCAAGCCATATTGATAGGTATAAAGCCGTTAAATAGTCGCTTAAATACGTTACGTACGGAAAATTCCATCTAATTAATTTTTAAACTGATAATGGTCGAGAAGTTTCAAAAATGCAAAAACTTAAACAAAAGAAAAGGTGTGAAAATGCGCAAAGGTCTTAAAAAGAACTAATATTTCCCTTTCTAAAAAAAATAAAGTAATTAACTATTGAATCAAGTACTTCGGTAGATCCTTATAAATTTGAAATTTGTTGAGGATTCGTCGACTGACCCTATAAAAATCTTCCCCGGATTTTTCAAAACCTGCATAAAACTGGCGGTAGCATGGATCGTCAATTTTGGGCAAAAAAAAAAGAATTATCGATTTGGTGAATGTTCACCTAGGGGAAAGAAATCTGACGATAACTCATTTTCGTTCAAATAACGAAATATTCGAAAATAACGCATCGTATTCTGCCAAGACAAATTGTTTGTTCTGTTCGAGCAAGAACAAGCCTTTTTACTTTCAAAAATTCAAAATGACCGTATGCCCGTTACGCCAAACAATCCGCTATAGTTTGTCTTAATTTATACATCGTACTCTGTTGTAACAAAGTAACTAATATAAAAATATCTCAACTTATATTGCTAGAATAGATAAAAGTTGTTGTTTTTGTAAAGCATGCCTCTTCAAGAATGAAACGGCAAATTTCTGCCATATAAAGGGGGACTTCAATAGCTTATCTCCCTACGCAACTATACGAATCATATATAAGCACTAGATCGTTAGTAAAGGCTATTGAAAAGCATCGCAATGTTTGTAATTTCAGAGAACTTCCTTCAAAAGAACCTACTATTTTTCATGTGTTACTAAGTGCTGCTCGTTACAGAATCGGATCACAAACGCCGCAGAAAAATAACCAATCTAATTTTTTTTAAATTTATTTTATCAATCTGCGAAACGATATTGGACTTAGAAACTTTGAATCCTCTAGAATCCTTTGCTCCGTTGTTAAAGATCTACGGAACAATACTTCGAGAAAACCATTTGCACATTCAGTACTTTAAAATAGGCACAGAACATACTAAAAAACTATTAGAGTGTCGTATCATTACTGATACTTTTTATACTTTTGTATTGTTTCTAGGTTTCACCCCTTACAAAAAAAAATGTTAATGCTGCTAAAAAGTGCAGACTGAGTGTGGACGAAGAATTTATATTAACTGTAATTGAAAAAGGCGCAGTTTAGGTCCATGACTATAAAGGCTGTGAAGTTACGCGGAATACTTCAAAGATCTGTGTCAACTGTATGATAGTGCAATGGCTACAAAGTTGTTGAAATTTAGAAATAACACTTCTTAGATATACGGTCGAGTCCACCAGGACTCCTTATTTGGCCCGCATAAAAGGAGCTTAATCCTGATCGTGCCATATATAAAGTATTACTCGAACTCTTTTAGAAGATTGTTTTACGAACCAGGCTCAGCGTGTAGAATTGATGCATCATTTGTCTCCATTACAGGTATAGCGCTATTAAAAACATACGCACATGCATTTCAGTATCATTAACGAAAGCTAAATAAACTGAAAAAAATGAGCCCGAACAAAGTGGGGAATAAATAACAATGTTTAATATATAAAAAAGAGGATGTCTTGAAAGACACATTGGTAAGAGCGAGTAAGACATGTCGCAAGCGAAAAAGTGAAAATAGGGTGCAGTGAAGGAAGTGTCGACATAAAGTAGATCCAAGTCCTCAAATTGCAGTTATGATAGGATGGCTACGCATCCTGGAGAGAGTACTCGCATTTGATTCTGTCACATGTTTCTTCTTAAGTAATTGTATATATAAAGCATATGTGTAATAATATATTAGATTATTAATATGACTAACTTTTAAACTCATCATGAGTTCACACAGATTACAAACCTTCACAAATCGCAAAGAATCAGAACACATCTGCGGTGCTCTTGCAGCATCCTTGTGGCTCTTTTTATTTTACTCTCTCAATTTCTTACTGTTCTTATACACAGCTGTTGTGTTTCTTATTTTTTTTCAGGCGTAGGTTGTCCACTACAAATATTGCTATACTCAGTAGCGTTATAGTAAATAGTCCATATACTAGGAAACGAGGAGGATTCGTCATGTTGCTGTGCTTGCTGCAGTTGTTCTTTTGTTATTGTTGTTGTCGGTTACGTGTGCTTGTGTGTTGTTAAATAGATTAACTGTCTGCGTATTAATTACTGTGTTAATGTTGCTGTTACCGCGTTTCTTGGTGAGTTAACTATGTCAATCTATACACAGTGTTCTCTTTTTAAAAGTACAGAATTTGTACATTGATGGAATTTCGTCGTGTTCATCGTATAGCTGAGTCGGGTTAGATGTATAATATTTAATAAATCCCTGTTTTATATAAGAGATGGTGTGTATTTGTAATGATGACGAATGGTAACTGCAATAATAATGGTAATAATACAGCAATGGAAGAACTTAGGCTGTAATTCGATTGTACCCATATGTACAAAGTCATTGCATGGCTTCGAAACGTCCGCTTCTGTTGCGCGTATTTGTTGACAGTGGCTTGTGTCGAGGCCATCGCCAGTGCCGAGATCACCGGAGAGGAAGCCCTGTCGAAAGCGGGCGGCACCTTAATTCAACAATAATTCAATGTCTTCCAGGTTAGATTAGGGAGGAAGGAAGACAACCCTGTGCAGGGCGGCGGGAGGTCCAGACTGACGCCTTTGGTTAATCACCTATGCAGCCCTTGTACATCACTTCCACCCCCGCGCCTGATCACCGCCTAATAAAAATAGATCCCATTAAGTCCTTGTCTTCCCAATTATCCAAGCCAGCTAGCAGAAACTGCTCTCTTCTATTGTCTGTAAGTTGGTGAGACGTACCCACCTGATGAGATCCTTGCTCTCTGTTTCTAACCCTTTCACGTTCTGAGTTCCCTTTCTATTTTGAGTCCCCGTCCCATCTAAGTGTAAAATCTTAGAGCGCGTCTGGACGCCCGCAGACCGTATGAAAATAACAATTTGCAGATGAAACGGTTTTTCCCGGCAACGCCGTCGCTATTGTTCGTCACGCTCAACGTCTTTTTATTTCGTTCTTTCTCTCTCCCTCTTTCTCTCCCTGTATCTTTCTTGCGTCTCAGACCATTTGCAGTCTGTCAATTCAGCTGAATATGTTGCCTCAGAATTCACTGTTGTGTATGTGTCTGTCTTACTCGTATCACAAGCTCTCATACTCCTCTTGCCTCGTTACAACCCACCAAGAAAGTATATTCATGTATAATTCTAAGAATAATAATAATAATAATGAACACCTCCCTTTATTATATATATTTTTATATATTTATATATAGTAATGCAATAACCCTAGATAATAATAAAAATAATAGTAATCATAATTATTATTATTATTATTATAATCGAACCCCTAGTCAATATATATGTATGCCCTTGACTGGGGTTTTTTTGTAATGATGTTGTCGGTGTTGCAATGTGTATCTGCATGTGTATATATGTATATCTGTTTAAATGGATTAGCCTCATTTTTTGACATTAGGCTTCTCCGGCATCCAGTATCTGCGCTGGTGTATGCAAGGATGCAATCTGTGTGATGTTACGGATGTCGCAATCGTATTATATGTACACCCACCCGGGGCACACCGGCATGATGTCGCCAGCCAGGCAACGAGCAAGTCGCTTTCTAGCGGCCGTCATGTTTGCATGTTTCACGGTTACATCAACCGTCATTGTCGTCGTGCTACACGCGCCCGGGTCGCGCCGGCCTCACGACAATGTATCATGGAGTCTTTTTCTCTTTCCCTTAATGTTTTTGCAGTCCGTCAACTGAGGCATGCTCTTTTTCCGTTTAAACATGTATCGGGACCTTACCGCCGGTGCTCCCAGGGCATACTGAGCTGACCAGTGAGCGCCATTTGGGCACCAACGTACATGCTGTGTACATTGGAATTAGAATGGGCCGCTGGTGGCCAATTTTGGGCGCTAAAACCAGCCGCCAATTTGGCCGAGTCTTGTTGCCATTGCGGGTGAGAAAAGTTGGCTAGATTGGCCATTGCTTGACCATTTGCCATGGCTGCCATGGTAGGCATAGCCATGCCTGCAAGGTTACCGTTGCTTTGTGGGAAGCCCAATGTAGAGTTGAGCCCGTTCATAATATTAGCATTAAAGGCGTTTTGGCCAAGTGACGATTGGAACGACGAGATCGATGGTGCAGATAATGGCGACCGTGGAGCCTGCTGGGGACTCGATGAGGTTTGCGGGCTCTGCACCAATGAGGCACGGTACGCGGCAAGTGCCTTCAAGTACTCCTGTAACAAACAGAAACCGTAACACAGTAGGTAATCCGTTCGAATAAATGCTTTTAAAGGATAGTATATTAGTATCAGCCATTGTGAATAATCTTTGTTATAGTTTTTAATCATCGAATATGGCTGATAACGGTAAGCGACAAGCACGATAGTTTTGTTGATTGTTCACAAGACTTGTTTCCATATCAGTACCAAAAGGATAATATCTGAACATATCATAGCAATTTGTGAAAGTGCAGCGACAACGAAACTGAGTTGTCAGACAAAACCGAGGCTAAATTTTAACTAAAAATCACAGACAGCAATTAGTGAGTTAGCTTCTTCTTTTCTTTAAAAAATTTCGTTGGCTAAGCGGTTTGAAAACAAACGAATGTAAGGCGCTAAAATGGTCACTTCGCCTAGGACGCCGTTTCTCCTCGTCCTACATTAACGGTATGGTAATATAGCTTACGTAAGCATAAATATATGTACATATATATGGTGACCCGTCTAAATTCGAAATTTTACTGATTCGGGGCCTGAATTGCTAAAGTGTATTTCAAATGTTGCCTTTGCTAACGTATGAATACATTGTTGAAAGAACAAGTAAGCAAATTGATGTTGCAATACCGGGACCTGTAAGATTTTAACACTGAAACGCACCATAGACAGTAATCTTATGGATTTGAAACTTAGGTTATTTGGCGGCCATGTACTTAGTCAAGAACACACATATTCTCAAGCAACCCGTTCTGCGGTAATCGGCTCACACGAGTCGGTGCACCATCGTTCTGGAAGATAGTGTTTTCAGATATTATAGCTATCCAAGGTTGCATAAAAGTTCATAGAACAGGCTGATGGTATTCTTTAGTTATGCATTCGTTAATATTACGTTTGAGCATCGCCCGGAAAACTGCATATACCCACAATAGATACACTCCTAAATCGTCAGTACCCGGTGACTCTGCGGGTGATTTTTGCGTCAAAAGTAAATATTTTTTAATTTAGAACGAATGAAAGACGACCTGCAGCTTTACTGACACTTCACATATGAAATGTAGTCTGAAGTTTTCATGAACAACCCGTAACAATCCAGTTTTAACCACATAAATTCCGCTTACCAACGACTCGATTGTAATGGAACGATTATTAGAAATGCATTTTAGGTCATATGCACTAATCCTGAGGCCTGTGCCAGTTTTTGTGTGTCGTAGGTTCTTTGTCAAGCTGTGTTGAAACCTGCTTCTATTGCAATCACACGTTTATTTTCCTATGCCGTGCACTATCGATTTGCAGTAGCGTAAGAAGTTTACTATTTTGTTGGCACTTTATCCCGTAAGAAGATATTGTATAATAGCTGCTTTTTATCTAACTTCCTATGTCGAAACATAATCTTCCGCTAAAAGAGTAAAAGGATCTTTTGAATTTTACGTCTGGTACTGCAGCATTCCTTAACGGAGTCAATATGAGATATTATGGCAAATTCCTTGTGTCCGAAGCATCGTCTTGGGTCATGCAATTTTTTTAGTTCAAAATTTGGATGAATCAAATTATATAAATAAATTGTATTGGGTACTATAACTGAAAAATTTAAGAAAGGAGGAAAGTGTTTTGAGCCGCCGGTGAGTAGAAATTAGCTTTCAACTGGCCGGCTAATTGGAGACTGCCAGCTATCGTTAATCGCACGTAATAGCACTGCTGTGAAATGGCTATAAAGCCAAGCGATTTTTAGAAAGAAAGTGCTCTGAGTATATAATCAGTTCAGGCGTTGGCATTGTTAGCATGCTGTGCAAGCATCTTTCAGGCCCTTGATTTAATGAAACTACTACATTTCTCCCAAAAGGGAATACAGGCTTGAAGCGCCGAATACACTAGTGACTGAAATGCTAGACGGCTATCGAAAAACAAAAACAAAGCTAGGTTAGTAAGGTTAGCTAGGTTAGCCTTTGTGATTACGAACCTTAGCTTAGTGGGATAGCCTAATGAACAATGTATTCTTAGGGTCACATTGTGTTCTAGATTTGAGCCCGGGAATAGACAAACTTCGTTTTGTGTTGGGTTCCAATTGTCTGATGGAATGCCTAACGACGGTACCGAACGTAAAATTCGAAACATAGAGGATTACGAACCTGCCGTTTAGTAAGGGCAAATTTTATCGTGTATTAACTGTCAGGATTGCAACAGGCGACGACGCCAAACAATATGGTGGCTTAGGCAAGACAGACTAGGTGATATCAAAGATTCGAAGCTTTGCCATCGGTTTACTGACTAGTAAAATAAGGAAATCCTGTTAGATTTTGATACACGCATAATGGTCTGATAGATCATAGAACAGAAATTGCCCTGAGATTTACACTCCGAGGTGATAAGTTAAACTGTTACGCGTTAGCCCAAGTTAACTGAAAGTTGGAAGCTTTCAATGCGAGAAATTATATAGACAAGATGTTATGTTGTAGTTGTAAAACTAATGAAAATCGGTGTACAGCGCTCAAATGAATCCCACCGACATTAAAAAGTTATTAGGTCAACTGCACAGTAGGTTGCGCCAAGGCGGAAGATTTTAGAGATCACTACTACCACTATAAATTAGAGAGAAATAATAGAACGCTCACTATCTCGGGAAGCTCGGAAATTATCTTGCGCAAAAAAATACTATTTTCAGGATGAGGCTGTTCTTTTTCATTAAGTGTTTTTCTTTAACGGGGAAAGGTTCTAGAAACTATCCATAAAATATCAAAGTTTTTTCACTTCCACAAAGGTATAGGGTCGTTTCCGGACTTCCATTCTTGGGTCTTCGCGCTTATTATTATATACATTCTTATTTATCCACTGATTTCTTTTTAAAGTATTCGGGCCAAACCTCGACGAGAGTAGATGTCTCAATATTGCTTTCTCACGGTTACTATTAAAATGTTAATACGGAAATCAATGCGTGAATTTTTTAAAATTGGTCTCAGAAGTAATCTCGGCCCCGAGTGCACTGTCTCGAGGCAGTAGTAATAGAAGCGAATAGCAGTTAAAAATCTCATTTTCCATTTCAGTACAGATACATTAAGTTAGCAGTGTTTTGGCAAAACTTCTGGGCACGAAATTAACTATTATATACTAACGATTATCTAACAATTATTACGTTATTTTATTACAAATTTTTGGAGAAAGTAAATGATGGATGGAATCAATTTTTCTTACTTCCTGGGTAATTCGTTATTTTTATGTCAAAATATATATAAAGCTCTCCCATTACGTTTTTGCAACACACTATCATTATATCTGGCATTCTGTAGGATTGGAAAGTGCGGTGGAATGAAGTTTAAACTGACACAAGTTAATCTCGATAAAATTTTACATGTGCAATATTCGGGCATTTCCGAATTAAGCTGTATGAAACAACTTAAGAACTATAAAAGTTCTCTATTATTGTTATACTGTATCTTGAATTAACATTCGTAGAATATTACACTGAAGCTCGCAAAATCCAACATCTTTATCAAAACATAAATCTTTAATTCTCAGATCTCATTGTTTTTAAATATAAGGCGTAAGATGAGCATCGTACTTGCATACTTCATCGGAATAAATTTATAACAACTCAATCAAAGGTCATACAGCAGAATGTGCTATTTAGCAGCGCCCTACACAAGAAGCACCCCACCTTCTCGTCGAACCTAAAGAATAATTGCGAAAGCGCTATGGTGATTTTTCAGGATATGCGTGAACCCGCGCAAACTTCAGATCAAAATAGTGTCTCGATATCCTTTCTCTAGGTCCAAGTATACCAAACCGGAAACGACTGATTTCCATTATCAAACGTCACTCTTCCGAACTTCATAAACTACGTGTAAAATGATGACTTGCAAGCGCAATATTCGGGCTTAGTACTAATGAATATCTGCACAGTCAAAACGTAATTCAAGAGCTTTTAGAATAGTTCATATTACACGCAAATATTATGCGACTTAAGCCGTTTGCACTGAAAATGTGTGGTAGGATAGCGTATCGTTATAACTTAAAACCTCAACCGCAAAAACTATTCTAAGTTAGAGGCTAGAACAGATATTTTTGACTTTGTCTGATGGTTTTTTTTTTAATATGAAGAGGCTCCGAAACTATTTTTGGAACGCTTTCCAACAGCTCGCTAAAAGACTAAGGCTTTCCAACGGTCTTATCCACAATAGCTATAACTTTACCCCATACATAAAAGGCTTAAGTTGCCATTTTAAATAAATTGTAACGATTCAATTCATGTATTTCAATAAGGCAGATGACCATTATTGAAAAATTCAGAATCACCACCTTTGAAAAACGGTCCGTGAATTTCAGCGAGCAGTCGAAATAATATAGGGCAAAAAGTAAAACTTTATTTGAAAGGATTACGGATATTCTTCGTTTCGAGGCCCTCATCAGGTTTAAAATGTCTCTTTCTTCCTCTCCCCTATATATATATATATATATATAGGAGGAGGGATTTTAATAAGATGTATAACAAGTTTAACCATGCATTACTTCATGTTGCACCACGTTGTACCAGACAGGTCCAGCAACACCTCTACTGACGGACGTTGAAGCAATATACAGACAGTGCTTCCGAACATTTATCTATATATAAGGATTAGGAAGAGTCAGCTCGAATTCACACGCACAAAATTGAGAATTCCTATGAAAATAAACTACTTTGTTTTCACCATCTCGTCGTTTTCCTTCTAGAGGCCTTTAAACGACTTATTTACTGGTGTACCAGTAAAATCGGGTTGAAGCGATTGAAATGTGCATTTGAACGTACCAATCTTGACAATGGTGATGGCACTGGATCAACAACACTCCGGTTATTGGGAAGCCAAAACTGTATAGGATGAAATCTACTAGTAGCTTACAGAACCCTAACGATTGGAACACCTGAATGAAAATAAGGGTGACCGTTTAGACTTTCACAAGATCGTGTACTTTTTGTGCTGTTTTAACTAGGAGCCTGTGGCAGTCACCGCTAAGTTTTGTAGAGAAGTACTCGCGACTGTTACAGGCTCCCGGCTGAAATAAATAATACCAATAGAAATTATTTGACAAACAGGAGCTGTGTAGTTAAGTTTAATAACCCATGATATAATGCTCTTTTTTGTACCAAACAATACGAAATTGCGAGGAACATCGTACGCATTGTACAAATTCACACAAACGATTTTACTGGGGCAAAAAACAAGCTGATTTCATCGTGTTCTTAGAAAATATAGAGACAAATAAGTTTTGCGACATAAGGATAAATGATTTGAGATTTCGAAATACGAACAATTGGAGCATACTGTACAAAAACACTAATCCTATTCTTTAGAGTACGACTGTTGTGAGTGCTTTTATGCTACACACTTCACTTTTTCTCATTTTTATGACAAGTGAGGGCATCTGCACTCGCATATTAACAATTAAGTGGCAGCATTTATGATTTTTTACTACGAGAACAAAAAATCGTATCGAATAAATGATTTGTACCTTTTCGCTTAGAATGGCATATCTGACCCATTGATAGACGACGTAAATCCTACTGTATATCAGGGCATGGATGCTTTCAAGTGCGCGATAAAAACGTACATCAAATATATCTCAAAAACTCAGCAATAGTTCTATCCCGCACCAAGAAATACTTTAGTAATTTAATTTGACGCCGTTGATCTCAAACAACACAAGAAATCTAGGACTTTAAGTAACCTCAGTTGAAATTAAGAAGAGGATAAAGCAGATTTTTCTTTTGTAAGAGGAAGTATCCGTTAACTAAATATAAAATATCATAATATTTGTTATGAATTAATCCAATACACGTTGAACTCTGGGCACGTGTACGGAATCCTTATATTTGTCCGTCCCTTTACTTCTCTCTTACAAACACATTATTAAGAAGCTACGCTACGAACTGCATTAGGATTGGTTCATAATATTTTTTCGCAGAATTTTTCTGTATTCGGCAATTCATCGAAAGACTTAAAAATGTACAAACAAAAGTTGATATATGAACGCACCTTTTTAGCGGCTTCGGTCTTCTTCTTGTAGACTTCTTTGCGTTCAGCATCAAGTTGATCCCACATTCCGGCGACAATTTTCGAAATCTGACCGAATGTAGCGTTTGGATTCTGGCTTTTTATGTGGGATTGGGTATCCCGGAAGAACAAGGCGTAAGCAGAAACCGGTCTGAAACAATATGAAAAATAAAAATGCAGAACGCTAACAGACAGATCTAGTAGTAGATTCAGTTTAGCTGCAGTATTACGAACACGGAACAGGTTGTAACAATCGAGGATAGCATGGAAGTGTAGATATTGATTGCTACGATATTGATTACGATTTTGAACAATATCGTGGACATAAATAACATGCTGGAAGGCTGTTATCCTTGAAGGTAAAAACTGGGTGTCACTTCGTACTGCTTATGCAAAACTACGGTAAGTATTGTTCCACTTCTATGTTCTAAGGCGAGTTAATAGACTGTATATATGTATGTAAAATGCAACTACACTAGATATGCTCTACTAATGCGGAAGCTTAACCTAACTGCTTTACCAATATCATGAATAAATATGTCTTTAATTGATTTAAAGTATGTGTGTACTTGTGTTACAAGCAGCTTTGATAATTTTATGATATGACAAACGTGCTTGATTAGAAGAAACATTAATAAACAATAAAATCGGTTTTATACTAAAAATAGCACAAAACATTCCTATAGTTGACTCTAATGTAGACTGGAAGGAAATCGATGTTTGGACAGCTAAACCAAAAAAAAACTAATAAAATACGTAGACGTAAAAACGGTTGGGTTGGTTTTTTCACCTTTATCCAATAGGCAAAACTGGATTTGAAGTTGATTTTATAAACCTCATTAGAAGGCCCCACATGAGAAGAATATGAGGTTTTCCCCCGAAAAAGGTTTGGAATTTTTGGAGCACATTAGTGTCCTAACAGCGCTTTCGTAACTACTCTATTGTAATCCAAGTACACGATAATTTACGTAAGAGTGTTGTACACTTGCTACGAGATCACATAATCCAGACAAGGATACCGAAATATATAACGCTTAGTGTGGGTCATAAGTAAGAAATGGATAAATACGTTAATAGTCTAAATGTAAAGTAGGCAAAAAGAGATTTTGAAAGTGTGGGCGCACTTTGCTTCCATACAAATAGAATAATGGCAGCTCCTGAATCACTCGTATTACCGTTAACTAAGGTGATTTTGTGATAGTTCCATAGTAAATAGCATGAAACGCAATGCGCGGCATTCATGTCCAAACGTTATTGTGGTATTACCCATTGCACAACGTTTTCTTTCTCTCTCTAACAAACCTTCGGTGTCTTTTATGTGTTTAGCAGCAAAGTGTGCAAAGCTTTGTCGCCTTATAAAAAAATAATCGAAGAAAAAAGAAAATTCATAATGAAGACGGCATATACAGGAGCGAACAAGTACACGCAGTTTTAGTTCAAGCACCTGGGTTTACAAAACGCTTTGCAGTTAACGCACTAATCTTGTTATAGATTTAAAATTGCTCTTACAGTGCCATTTTGATAAATGTGTTTCTGTTTAAAGATGTCAGAATACAAAGGAATACATCGTCGTTTCTAGCCGTAGTAAATAAACGCCTGTTGTTTATTATTGACTATATGCTATAGGTAAACGGTTGAGTAAGGTTACTTTAAACTACTTGCAACGACAGATAAGTAGGAATACTGGAGACTGTTTAAATTCAATACTGTATTTAGACTAAATAGGATCAGAGAAGTCGGATAAGTTGAACATCTACTACCACGGTCATAAATCAGATAAACTTCACATCTGTACTGAATCAACGTATCACAATAAATACACTCGTGCGCCTTTCATCGCCTCTCTTAGTTCAAAATTACGTTCAAACCTTACTTCAGGTTTAATGGTTATTGAAACGCAGCATGCCGTTATTAACCTATTGAGCGCACTATTTTCTTTTAAAATTTCATATGGCATGCTGTCTGGCCATGAGTAATGTATGAGAAACAGTAGTATCTTTCTTTATCAGCAACAGTTTCTTACAGTGCATCGTAAGTGAAAGGGAAGACCTGGTTCAACTTTGTTAGTCCAGGACGTGGAGACAAAACGTGCATCCCGAAGAAAATGTTGTTCAAGATCCCCTGGTATAAAGTAGAAAAGCAAGCCATCCAGAAGCAAGTCAGAGGCTACCGGTTTTACAGTCAAAAATAAATATAATTTCCGTTGTTATATTTGGCGCTCTATATAGACGCGAGCATCGTGCTCTAATAGATGCTTAAACGTGCAAACATTGTTCGAAGTAATTCTATAAGGTTTAACTTCATAGTTTTCAAGCATAGTTGTTTTTTAAATAAGTCGATTTCGCGCTCTAAAAAATTAGGTTCCTGTGCATCACTCATGTACAGATTTTAAACCAGGGTTTAGCGTACATAATGAATGTCAACGAGAAGATCACACACTGTTTTAGTATGCACACTCTCCTGTGCCGTGCGGCAAAAATAAAATACAAAAAAAAAACCAGCACATCGCTTGTCTAGCAATAAATTTACGGGATACTTGAGTTGGTCTTTGAAGCATTTTATTCACTCGACGCGTCTATACTTAATTGCATTGTAGGTATCCATAATAAAAAGAACACTTAGAATGGCTTACACAGCCAGTATTGACAAAGTTCCAGAATTAGTTCGCAACATAAAATAGCTTTGGAACAAAAGAGTCAACATGAATTACTATTGTGTTTTTTACTGATCGTGGTATCATAGGAAACTAAGTATGAAATGTTGTTGAAATTTTGTTAATTATCTAGTGATTGCCTTCTTATACGGCCCAATATTAAAGTGTTGATTATTTATTATGGCGCTTTTTCTTTTTTTATTAAGAATTTCGAGCATTCAACACATGGTGTGATAAAGACGACGCTCCTAATTTTGCTCCTTTTTCTTACCCATTAAATATGTGAAAACGAATCTATAAAAATTTATTTTTCCAAATGGGTAATTTAGTCAATCAATGTTACAACTTTTCTTTCTTTTCTTCTTATTTTTACGACCATTTTATTCTTACTCTTTATTTTACGACCAGCACAAAAAGTGGTACGACTATTCATATGTAGGTCGCAGCCTTTTCACCTTATGCACAATAAAGATAAATGATGCCTTGAGGCAGCAATTACCATACCAAAATGACCGCATGCTCGTATTCCATTATATGAAGCGAATTAGCTTTGAATGCCCATTTTATATTCTGCATATCAGTGAATTTGATTATTTCGTTCACTATCTAGATTATAAATATAGCTACCCTTGCAATGAAGCTTCTGTTTCAAAACCCGTAAGATTTAATTGATATACCTAAGGTCCACCGAAAATTCGCAAAATCCAATAGTCAGACGGAACACTTACTTCTGCGGCTCGTTCGGATCCTTCTTCTTACGCTTTCTTTGCGACTTTTGTGCCTTGTTTCCACCATTGCTCTGTGCAGCTGGAGTTTTCTGGCCTGCAGCGGCCACATTTGCCGCTAAGCCTAACGCTGAGTTAAGACTACCGATAGCAATGGTGCCTGGAGATACAGAACTGGTGCTAGCAGGAGTTGTTGATGCACTATCGCCCGTTGCACTCGCGCCTGCCAGAGACGGATAGCTTCCGTGGAGACCCTGAAACGAATTGAACCCTGGTCCGCCAGACGTGATGTAGTCCTGCATATAAGAGAATTGCGATGCCGCCGCAGCTGCCGCTGTAGACTAAAAGTTCAGAGAAAAGGGACATCGTTACGGATTATACGAGAAAAATTTTTTCACTATGGGGACAACGAGGCGTTGTTACAACGTAATGCAATAGAGCACTTTTTGGTAACTATTTATGAGCTACGTTACAATAGAGGATAGAAAAATAGTAAAAACATTCATAAAAACTTCTCTTTGGTAACATTGAAGTTCTTAAGGATATTCAATCAAACTGAAAGCTGTCGTTGCTCGGTCTTTGTAAGTGTTTCCGTGTAAGGCTTGTAGTGCAAGAGTTGTGGTGGCATTAAACGTTAAATCTTGTGCAGTGTGTCAAAAGAAATCGCACATGCAGGGAGATTAATGCTAATGAGTAGTTTGTTCGCAATATTAGTTTGAATGGTATGTTTACTTCGTATTTTTTTTTCACTAGACGCTTATTCTGGGTTTAACGTTTCTAGACAACCTAAGTTAAGCAATTTCTGAATTACATCTCTTGTTCTACAACGATCACGTTTTTAATACACTGTAAAATAAAAAACGAGGATGACATTTAAAAGCGGAGGGGTCAAAGTACTTTAGATACCTAATTTTTTGTTAAAAACAAAAACTAGACCAAAAATCAACATCTATAGTAACGTGCCAGCTACTTTGTAGTAATTATTATTATTATTGCCTACCAACAAATATGCAGACAAACTCACCTAAATGTAGTTAACAATGCGTCAGCCAAAATCAATTTTTATGACTATCTTTTTGCCACAAACCAACAATATTTATAAATAAAAAAAACTTACGAGATTAAGCGTTTGTTGGCCATCGGCAAAAGTTGTCCATGGAATTTGCGGCGGGTCCATCTTTGACTTGGAGCTGAAATAGATCAACAACATGCACGAAATATTTATTTAGAGTACGACATTAGGTTCTCAGTAAAATTTATTTCCCAAGAACCGCTTTGTTGTTAACTAATAAATATAACCCAAACTGTAGCACATCTATTGTAAAGCAGTCCGACATAGTCATCTTCTTTCTATTTCATGAGATATGCGTTTTCTACATCAAGCTAGCTCCTTAAGTCTTAAGGCTGTTCTTGTATCCTGGAACTTTAGCGGGCGGGAGACTCGGGATGGCACTTGGGTTCATTTGGCCCTCTCCGCTCCCCGTATCCTATAGGACTTCAGCTCATTAGAAAAGCTCCAATTCCAAACGGCGCCTCCTCGCTCTCGTTCTTGACTGTACCACAGTGCCGTTCTAAATTTCAACGCTATCGTTTCGTACCGCTCACGCTCTTATAGTCCCATCTGCTATAACTATAAGTATCCTTATCTTTTTGAAGGATCCAGTATTTTTTATTGAAAAAGATTTAACATTACAAAGGAAATCCAGAGCTCTATCCGGATAGTAGAAATAATGGCACGATAAACTTTTTACGTATTTCGTAAGAAAGTAAAAGAAAGTAACGGCTGAGTATGGGAACTCCAATCACTGTTTTTCATACTCTACCGATATTACTCATCTAACAAAATATGCTCTGGAACCCATTTTGCTTGAACTCAATTAACCCGTTGGTCGAAGCAATAGATTAATCGGAGTTTGCTTCTAAGATCACTAGCATACGACTGTACAAACTGTCATTTTATACCAGTAGAAAGAACGTTAAAATACTTCAGTTCTAAAGGGGGATGGAAACGAGGACAAATGCATGTGTCATTGCCATTGCGTACTACGACAGCTTCTACTAGCCAAGATACCCAACATCCGTGTATACGCCAGGCCAAAGGCCTCTTCACTGTTCCTTTTGGACTGAAGGGAACTGAGAGAAGAGGGGGCCCACAAACCGAAAGACCGTTCGCTGCTGCGCCGAAAAAGCGACTCGGCTGGGGGCCAAAATTGCGTTCCGAATCGATAGAGGAGGTCGGTTCCCACATGACCCCTTTTTCCTTTTCCCCTTTCCAACCACTGGCCAAGGAGTACAGAGGGATTGGCCGCAGTGGAGAAGGGAAGGACCCCGCATATATATGGCCCCTACTCCCCTAGAATAGCTTCTCTATACGCATCGCTTGTTTCACAGCGCCTCAGAGATAGCCGACGTAAGTGCACACGCAAGAAGGCGAGATCCGAGTCCCGGACGGAAACTGAGGCCAGCAGCGAGGCCAGAAACGGAGTAGCGTACAGTCGGTGAGTGTGCAGCGGTGTATGAGAGAGAGTGCGTGTGAGCCGAGTGTTGTACAGTGAAGGCAACGTGGGGAAGGGGAGATAGGGGCTATGCTCACTGGCTGCTAGCTGAGAGCCACCGGGATTGGGATTGCCGACTGGCAGGCAGCAAGCAAGTGCTAGCGCTAGCGGGCGAAGCGGTACCGAAGCGGGAAGGAAGCGAGAGGAAGAGAGACGTGCGCCGCTACTCCCAAGTGCGGGGTGCGAGGCGGCACGAAGACGACGGGAAAGCAGACAGCAGCGGGAGTCACCGCGCGGGAGGAGTGCGGTTGGGTAGCAGCAGCCGAGCAAGCGGCGGACGGGCCGAAAGCCGCACTGCTGAGCCGAGGCGGCGATGTGGCGAGAGAGGCGCGGGAGGAAGAGATGGAACAGAGCGGAGCAGGCAGGCGAGGAAGCGGTGGAGCACGGATCGCCTTTGTGGCAACCACCCGCTCCAAGCGGCCATCGCAGTGCGGGAACTAGACGAGACAGCGGGAGAAGCGGGCGGGTGTCGAGCTGCGTTTCAGCCGAGAGGCGGGAGCCTCCTGAAGCCCGCTGCGGGCTCGTGGGGTGAGAAGCGCGACCGTACTGGGGTGAGAAGCGGCGATAACGTCTCGTCCCTAATTGGGGGCAAGGTCGGAACAAGGAGGGAGAAGCAGGCGATGAACACCCGCACCCAACCCAAGTACCGCCTAGGCTGAGGTCGAGCACGCCTTCGTAAAGAGGACACAGACAGCTTCCGAGCATCTTACGGATCGCACGACGGATTGAGGAAGCTGTCACCGAGGCCGTAGTTGTTTAGGTATTCTAAGGTCATGAGAGCAATATAGTTAAAGTAGCAATCGTCACATTGGTCATCAAGATCGAGTAAACATTCTTCAGTTGAAGCTCGCATGTTCATTTATAATTTCAACGATACAACTTACGCTACAGATGCTGTCTATAAAAGCAAGGTATTCGTAGCCTGCACTGCGCGTAAAACAAACCTTAGGCCATACGCACTTGTTCCCTGTGTGGTGCAAGTCCCATCTACAAGCCCACAAGTCTCTTTCTCTCTTGGCTTCACTGCCACTGCTTCGATGCAAACCCTGTGCGGAACTATCCGCAAGGGTAGAGACCTAAAGTAAAGAACCACCTCTTGTATGACTTTTTCGTTCATCGTGGCCCGTGTTTGAGGAAACCATATTGAGTGCCGACACATAACATCCGTAAACATGTTGCAATTATATTAGCAAGTCTTTATTTATCTAGACTAGTGACATTCCAGCACAGAATAACATTTCAACGGTGTCACAGATTTGCAAACACAGAGCATCCTAATTGTTAAAAAGACGGCCTGGTGCTCTAGTCGACATTCCCGCAATGCCTAATATCTGCTTACTCTTTGATGAAACTGTACATAACCATTTTGTAAGTGTAGCTGATACCTCACAAATGCACAAGGAACTTTCAAAACATCACTTTCAGGTTACAGCTACAGCGTAGCCATTGCAGTTAAAAAGGAAAACTTATACTATATTTTGCTTAATGATAAACACATAAGGGCAGCCCCACCATTTTGGCCTATTATAACTGTACAGAATTGATTAACGGCAAGTGTGTAGAAGACCTTCATTAAGCTTTCAATCAATTTACCAGATCTTCACTTCACCGTTCATTTTTTTGGTTATGCAGAGTGTTGTATCAAATTTGCTGCGCAGGATGTCCTCAGCGCTCAATGGTGATCAAAGATGCGGTAAAGCAATGTGATCGATTGCAAAAATGTGTTAAATGCAATCCTGCTGCAGGGCGGCAAAACTTACTATGACTATATGTACACAGCCGTGTCTCGCGTGCCTCATCTTCCCAAAGCCCTTCTAGGTCTATAGGGCTAGAAGATGTACTACCGTGTGTGGCTCATGCGCTCTCTAACCAAGGAGGGTGTTTCAAGGGGGGTGACCCGGCTTGGTTCTCACCCTCTTTGCGGTGAAGCGACTGCGGCCATCCTGTTGGGCGCCTGAATGGGTGCGCCTGGCTGTGACTGCGCAACGCGGGACTTCGCGGATAGTATGGAAGGCAGGGTGTAAAGCGTCCAGAACGGGCACAACCAGTGATTGTCAATAAGGACATGTAATCTAGCAATATTGCTGGTGAGATATTTGTGATTTATCAAATGAATACCAGATAGATTCTGTTAGAAAAAATTGATTAGAATACACGATCTAGACAGATACAAAACACATGGCACTGATCGACTTCAAATTACTTAAACCGGCATAGTCCGCATGAGAAGCTACTTTGCTTCTTCCACCTGCCATCTTTTAGGTAAGCGGAAGTCAGGTGGTTCCTACTTCGTGTTATCCACTCCGGTCTCCCGTCGGCTGCTTTCGTACTAGCTTCTCGTTCCTGACTAGTGGTAGCAGATAGGCGCAAAGGAAATATCTGCTCCCGGGAGTGCGACAGCGCCTAGCCAGGCAGCGCAGACACCACACCGGGCAGTCGACGACCCACGGACATGGGAGTGAACAGCGGGCGGGAGACTTCGCCACGCCTGTCTCGAGTGAGCGAATGTCGAGTCTAAGGTCTCGGCTTTCGGCCCCGTGGGAGGCGGGGAGGGCGTGTCAGCGGTCGGTTGCAGACAACCTGGTGGGGCGGCGGGAACAGTACAGAAAACGAGACAGGGTCAAGGATGAACAACAGCCGAAGGACAGCGAACACGGCAGGTCCAGTTGACCATTGCTGATTCTCTCCCTATTCTTATATACTGCTTCTTGTCTATAACGCATCGTAACGTAAATGATAAAACGCATAAAAAAAAATACGTTGTGGCCTTTCCTTACTCTAATCGTACAAGTAATTTAGCTTTAAGTGTTACCTTTTAAATAGACCTGCTTAAATAGAAGTTTAATAGGCAAACAAAGAAAGTGCTTCTTTACAGTTGTTGACTAGGACAATTTTACTGCTAGGGTATGAATAGCTTTCAGTCAAAGACTTCTATGGAAAAGAGTCAAAGTCAGGACTTCAATTGATTACGCCAGACTAAACACGAACCTTTGCGGTACCATGAATAAAGATTCTAGATCTATTTCCACCAGAGTAAAATGGGCATTATGGGAAATATCCTAAATGCCGGACGCTTGATTGATAAATTTGTCGCCATTGCACGTTACCAAAAACCGGTGACTATGACAAAGACGATCCTTCTAGTTTTCGAATATAGCTATTACAGTATATAACATTATTGATCCTTTCAAGAGGAAACATTTTCTAGCTTCTACTCCTGGAATTACGCAATGAGATCAGTAGGCTATTCCACTAACTTATCGTGCCGTATTCTATGTAAGCAGTTATTCCAAGTTGCTCTAGAGGCGCCCCACCATATGTATTTTGCTTACCACATGTATTAGTTTCAGAATGTTAACGTAGCAAAAGGTACCCTGTTACCCTGCATCGCGTGGTTTTTCCGTACGTTGCTGGCGATCTCGCGGTTTTGTGGTTGATATGAGAGAGTGGTGTACGCTTAGTAAGAAAGGCGCAAACGGGTAGTATGGTTGGGAACGGGCAGCGGGGATGAGTAATGGAAACGGTGACGTCACAAAATTGAACCGCGCTACCAGCCGAGCCGGGCTCGGCGGGCAAGAGAGGACGACGTAGGGGCCCATGAGCTCCAGGGGATGGGTAGAGGCATAGAGTGAGTG